TCATCTGACCATATGACATTCCCCCAAGCCTCTTCTGGATCATCCAAATGCACTCTAGCAAACTTCAGACGGGCCTGGACATGTACTGGCTTAAGCAGGGGGACACGTCTGGCACTGCAGGATTTGAGTCCCTGGCGGCGTAGTGTGTTACTGATGGTAGGCTTTGTTACTTTGGTCCCAGCTCTCTGCAGGTCATTCACTAGGTCCCCCCGTGTGGTTCTGGGATTTTTGCTCACCGTTCTTGTGATCATTTTGACCCCACGGGGTGAGATCTTGCGTGGAGCCCCAGATCGAGGGAGATTATCAGTGGTCTTGTATGTCTTCTATTTCCTAATAATTGCTCCCACAGTTGATTTCTTCAAACCAAGCTGCTTACCTATTGCAGATTCAGTCTTCCCAGCCTGGTGCAGGTCTACCATTTTGTATCTGGTGTCCTTTGACAGCTCTTTGGTCTTGGCCATATTGGAGTTTGGAGTGTGACTGTTTGAGGTTGTGGACAAGTGCCTTTTATACTGATAACAAGTTCAAACAGGTGCCATTAATACAGGTAACGAGTGGAGGACAGAGGAGCCTCTTAAAGAAGAAGTTACAGGTCTGTGAGAGCCAGAAATCTTGCTTGTTTGTAGGTGACCAAATACTTATTTTCCACCATAATTTGCAAATAAATTCATAAAAAATCCAGTGATTTTTCTGGATTTTTTTTTCTCAATGTGTCTGTCATAGTTGACGTGTACCTATGATGAAAATTACAGGCCTCTCTCATCTTTTTAAGTGGGAGAACTTGCACAATTGGTGGCTGACTAAATACTTTTTCCCCCCACTGTATATACATTAAACACAATGTCATGCTGTTAATCCACCCCTTTGTTTGTGTTAGCCCAACTCATGTTAGGTTGCCTCTTACCAGAACTGACAGTTCTACGTTTGCAGCTATGCATATCGCTGACTCTACCTTTAGAAGTGACATTGTCTGAAATAAATTCCAGAAAGTTATTCCAGTGTCAGCCTCTTCCCTGGGTGAAACCAGATCTAAGAACCTGTGTTGTACTGTATTACTATGGGGTGGCATAGGTCATCAACACACTTATCCCTCTACGGCTACATATACAGTGCATTCGTAAAGTATTCAGACCCCTTGACTTTTTCCACATTTTGTTACGTTACAGCCTGTAGTGGATATTTTAATCGATAATGAGGAGAGACAAGGTCAATTACCAATCAGAATATTAACTTTATTCTAAACTTATAAGGGAGCTGGTCACAATACCCACACAGAAGTGAGTAGTCATCCCTTCACATGGTTTGCAATAGGTAAAGACACATTCACATATGGAAACAATGTTTCCTTCTGACCTCCTTTGCCCTATTCTCTTTCGGAAATTCTGCTTAGCAACAGGGACATGTGATAGACAAGCCTGATTTCTCCCCTCTCTGGGCCTCAGGTGACTGAGGCCCAAATGAGGGAGGAAGTGCAGCTGCCAACACCAGAGTACGAAAGGAGACATTCTAATAACAAGAGTTCAACAGTTCAATCATATAAGCATATTCTGCAGATAAGACATCTTAATTATCTATGTTACTTAGCTAATTCTGATTTCTCCACCACATTTCCCCTCTCAAGGGACTTCGTTCCTTCCGGAGACATCAGAATAGTAACATGGTATCTTACATGGCAATGGTTACAATGAAAACCAATTAAAATGAATTAATTAAAGACCCTCACTGTCGACTACTCTTATTTCCATGCAAGCTTCCTCCGTTGGGAAACGGAGTTTTTAAACCTTTTACCTTCTACACATACCATATACAGTTCTAACTTGCCAGTGTCTGCTGATGATTAGGTATAACAAAGCTAGCCAAGTGGAGTCTCTCAGTAAAGTGTTTGGTCCCAGAGTGTGGCTGCCCAGGAGAAAACACCAGGCAATCACAGAGACTGGGCGTTCAGCCAATATTCCACTCCTACTGAGCCGACCCTGTGAGCAAATCTCTGTCTACAGCAGGCACATTCCTAAATATCCAACAGGTCAAACATCACTGTCCTCAGCAGTAAAAGGTAGCTCAGCTAATCCTTCACATCCTGTATTCTGGCCAGGGTAACATTTAACATTACATTTGGCCTTGAATTCGTTTCCAGTTTTAAGACATATTGCAGCAAAACTTCAACATGAGGATGAACAGCAAAATCAGTACTCTGTCCTTGTCATGGTCCGAATCACACATAGGACTATTAATAAATTATACACTTTTTCCTAATCATTAGTGTTTAACCTGGACCATCAGACACTAGTTAAAGACATTACAAACAATGTGTGTACCAGGTTTACATTGGGTGTTTCACTACATTTGTAATCAGGATAATTTACATGTGTGCAACCAAACCTCTGGCAATAGAAACTTCAGAAAATGTAATGTATGTGCCCTTTAAGCTGTATCATTTCAAACCTGTGAAAAATCCACTAAACAAAAAAAAATATCAAACACTGTATTAACACCATGAACAAATATTCATAACATAAACATTTAATTAGTTTTCACTTTTACTAAATCTTAATCAGTCCAAATCATTTAAAATTCTAATTAACTTCACCTTCACATGGTGTAAAACATTCTTAAGGGAATCATTTTAGACAATTAAAAAGTTAAACAGAAGTACACTCTTCATCTGTACAAAGAGGACAATCATCACGTTGATGCGTCGATCTCAGTCCTCTTAAACAATTGGGTGGCTATTGTTTGCTGGACTCCTGTCCTGAGCCTGCCGTTGGCTCGAGCTGGAGTGGCTGTTATTTAAGTCCCGCCGTGGGATGCTGGTATTCTTCAATTGCATTGTGGCAACTTCTCCCAGGGCCCATACAACAGCTGCAATGAGAAGACTGACCACGAAAGCAACAAACACATGATGCGTAGAGTCCGGTCCTGGTCCTCCCATGGCCACTGGGGTCGCCTATGATGATTCATCAGCTGGTTCATCTTCGTCTGGGTTGTGGGGCACCTTCCTGCACTGGCTGGCATGAACCCACGTCGACCTCTTTGCAACTGTCAGGAGCACCTGGAATGGACCAGTCTAGCGCTGTTGGTGCCAAGTCTTTCTGCGGAGGTCCTTGATGACCACCCAATCTCCTGGCTGCAATTTGTGGAGCTGTCCTCCCTTTGGTTCAGGCAAAGACTATTTTATCCTGGGGAGAATAGACTTCAGAACATTATTAAGTGCAGCACAGTAGCTTACCATTTGATTCTCGCAACCCATCAGTGTCAATCTGTTCTGTGGAAAAGGGGTTTACACATTTTGCACAAAATTGCGTATGTATATTTGGTATTTCAGAGACAAAATTCCACTGGCCCTGCAGTGGCCCACTGGCCCTGCAGACACATCCTGTAAAGAAAACATGTTTTTAACAGAGACAGGAAGTGCAACAAAATAGCCTCCAACAAGTTTTCAACCAATTTAGAATTCCTCACCAGATGAGGTGAGGAACCCACATTGCTTACAGAGTGTACCGAAGTCATGCACAACCTCAAATGCATACCTACTGTCAGTATAAATCATAACAGTTTTACCCTTAGCCAAAATAAATGCTCTACTAAGAGCAAACTATTCTGCAGCCTGAGCTGACAGATGGGGTGGTATTTTAGCACTATCTAAGGTAGTGGCAGTAACGGTTATTGCATAAGCCACTAATGGTTTTTCTTGAGGTGATTTTTGAGATGAACCATCCACAAATAGTTCCAAATCAGCATTCATTAAATGCACATCTGATAAATTGGGGAGTGGCTTACAGACCTGGTCAACTAGGACAGCAATCATGGGGCTCACCCTCATCGTCAGTTTTTTTTTTTTTTTTTTCAAACACCAATGGATTAAATCGTTTAGAATGATCCGGCAAACCTAAACATAAAGAAAAGGTTAGCAACTGTGTCAAAATTTGTCAACTGCCTGCGAGTCCACTTTATCTTGTCCTTCATCGCCATCTTGTGGCCATGGATGAGATCAGAGTGTTAAACAGTTCATCATTATGCAAATATTCATTCACAATTTACATTTACATTTACGTCATTTAGCAGACGCTCTTATCCAGAGCGACTTACAAATACAATACTTACAAATGTGTGCCTCCACATATTAATTCATGGGGTACCTCAAAGTACAGGTATTCTTACTACATGTATCAACTCACTTGATAACCAGGAATCGGTTACCTTGAACACCTTTTCAAATGCCGTACACAGGCCTTCTCTACAAGGCTAAAAGCATTTAACCTTTCAAACTTAGAATTCTAAAGTCTTCACCGGTAGTGCTGTGAAAGCAAAGGTTAGTGGTTACAACACTGCTACAACTATCAGGTGGACAGAAAATTGTATTGTTGGAAATCAGTCATAACTCCTTCAGTCAGTAGCTTAGTTATAATTTTGTAAAACTACAGTCTACAGCAATTGTAGATCTTAAATGTAGGAAGGTCTAAAGGAGTCTGAGTTACAACAGTACTCTTATTCATTCCAATACCAAATGTAATACCCCTTAAACAAATGTAATATACCTCAACGCTAATTTTCTCATTGTCTTCAAACTTATAATTTCAAGATTATTTAAAAAAAAAACGTTCCATCAATCTTAAATAAAAACAACAGCCAGAAATGCTTTTCAAGCAGTACATTATCCTTACAAAACAATCATCAAAATAAATCACATTGAAACGTAGTTGGATTGGGAACCACTGGGGCACGGGCAAAGACGGCATCATTCACAGGTCTAAATCTTGAACAAAACGCCAATCCCCTGAGGCTTTTCTTACTGGCATGATAGGGGTGTTGCAAGGTGACTCTGGACACAGGACTAATGCTCCATGCTGTAACAGTGAGGCATGTACAGGTGTGATACCCGCATTAGCCTCTTTAATGAGTGGATACTGTGCTCTGGAAGGGCGCCTGGTATCTTTGGGAGTGACTACAAGGGGCTCAGCCCCCTTCATCCTGCCAAAACCATACTTATCCCTTGTCCATAGGCAATCAGGGACCCCTCTCAAGAGGGGCGAGTCCTCACTCAAAAGCATGATATTGGTGACACGAGGGCTGATCAAGTCCATGTACACCCCTCTCAACTGCTGTGTCCCAGTTGAAGGGGTAACAATATGTCAGTGTGCTGCGTGAATAAGTTTACCCATCTGAAACCATCTCCCAATCAACAGCATTGACCAGACCCTTTATTCAAAGCCCCAGTATCCTCCCACTCAACTCTGCATGATTTTGTCAGGGACACATGTGGTGCACTATCTTCAAACATGTAGAGCTCTTTCTGTGCAGGGGTTCGATTAACCCCCAAAGCACAAATCACTGCTACCATACAACCCTTCACACTGGATAGATTCTGGCGCTACACTTTGGGTTTTGGCCATTGAGAAAACACGAGCAATATTGGGCACCTCATTTATCAATGTCCCATGCATAATACCAGTCACAAAACTCAGACATTATCAATTGCTCTTCCTCCTCCTCCTCATGAATAACGGTTAAACCGGTTGGGCCACATGTTATGTTGATGCCCAGTTTACACAGGAGGTCCCTGACCATCAGATTGACAGGACAGTTGTCAGAGTAGAGAAATTGATGCTGACACTTCTCCTCACAAAAGGAGACCGGCAGAGGTATAGTTACATGCTCTCTGAATGGGAAGCCTGAAGCCCCTACAGTTTTTACTGTTTCACTAGACATGGGAGGTTTTGTCATAGCCTTTACAGTTAGCTCCCGTATCAACAATAACTATTATTGACTGCAAGCCTCCACTGTTGGCTCGATTCGAGGAAGAGTATGGCTCTTTAAAAACAATGTTCTGGTTGCTCTGACAATTCTAATTAAACTACTACTTCCCCTTCCGCCTGTCAGTATTCTCCCTCCTCCTCCTCTCCCTCTCGAGGGGCCCCCCTTGGGGCTCCTCTACCTCTTGATCCACCTCTTCCCCTCGGCTGCTGGGCAGTTTGAGTGCAGCTTGCGGCGAAATGGCCTGGTTTTTGACAGTTGTAGCAGATTCTTCCACCACTCGCACCCCCTCCAGCAGCTGCTAATGCGGCCATCTGGTAGAATGTAAACTGAGCAGCTTGTAGTTTCTGAGTCTTATGGTCGCCTGTGCTGGTTGGGGGTGTGCCCTCGAGGAACGGGTTGCGACTCTTTCTGTCCGCTTGTCTGGCTTCCCCAGCCACACCTTTCCTCTGTGGTCTGGGAGTTGACGTCATTCTCACCGCCAGCATGGCCAGTCCAGAGAGCAGTTTGTCCACCGCTGCAGCTACTAGGGAAGATTCATACGTGAGGGTCGGCACAGGAGTGAACTGTGGAGTTGGGGGAGGAGGCACAGTGGGGTGTAGAGAAGGGCGTCCACTGGGTCTGCTGGATCGGGTGGAGGCGGGGGAGGGAGGTCATCAGACACAGGCCCAGGCAGCACTGGGTAGAGAGTGGTCAGGAGAAAAGTAGGGAGGGGGGAAATCTCTCTCGTCGTCTTTTCTGTTCTTTCTCACTGTCTCGTCTATCTGTTTTCTCTTCCTCCTCAGTCTGCACTACCATATTCTGACGGGGCTGTCCCCTAAATGAATCCTGTCTTTGTGTAGGCCATTCTGCCTCTTTCCTAGTTTCTAAATTTAACCCAGCCTATTTGATCTTTTGTACCTTTGTTAGTCCCTTCATACTCTGTCAGTCTCTCCCTGACTTTGTCTAACATTGTTACACTCAGTGTCCCCGTCAACGGAAAACCACCTTCCCTATCTGTAATTTCACCTGGTCCAGAAAGTCCCTTTCCCACTTATCTGCACATAACTTTCAGGGCCCCCATGGAAGGATCTGGAATGCCATGTCCCTTGCTCCTGTGTGCTCCCATGGTTCCTGTTCCACTCACAGATCACACACACACACACACACACACACACACACACACAGGGGTAGACAAACAAAGAAAACCAGTTAGTGCTGTTTATGATGTTATTTTATCCATATGAACAGGGAAATTCATATCTCCATTAAAATATTGCCTAATTAGTGACCCCAGAACGGGGTGTCATCTCCACACGGGGATATCGCCTACTGCGATCACTGTAGTATAGATCCTCTTATGTCTATCCAGATATGCAAAACTTCCCACAAAATACCCGTGCCTCCTATCTAATTGTGTAACACGGTCCCAAAAATCCAATCTTACCTTGTATTTTCTAACATCCACCTCAGGTGAAGTCCCAGGAATAACTAAACTAACAATAGCATCTAACAATAGTAACCCAGGGATGCCTGTTTTACCTCATTAACAAACATTTTATCAATTACATACACGTTATAATTTGAACTTCACCAAGTCAGATGCCCTCGCATGGCATCACCTGCACTCTAGTCCCTCATTCAATGAGCTCACCAAGCCGAGTTTTCCCGCAGGATTACTTGCGCTCTAGTCCCTTGCTCCATATTAACCTCACCAGTCCTACTGTGATCAATTCAGTACTACGAACTGGAATTTTGGTTGCCCTCAACTGGCTGATTTAACAATTATGTCCAAGGATACCTCACTTAAGAACACTCTTATCAACTCAACTCAGTCCTGCTAGTCACCTCAGCTGTGGCCCCCCATAAGGAGGACCTCGCTCTGAGCGTACCCTGAACAGGGACTCCTTTTATAAATGTTCTATTGGTGAATCATCTTGCTCCCATCTCTCAATACTATGTTGGGGATCTGGTATCCACCCATGCCCGCTTCCACTCAGATCTTAGGCAGGTCCAGCTGCTCATTTAGGAGCGCGGCTCCCCTGAGATCCCAATTTGGGGATCCCCTGTGCACAGTTTACCCAGATCTTTAGGAGCGACCAACAGGTGAAGTTACAGATCCCACCCTCGTCGCCAAATGTAGTAGATATTTTAATCAATAATGAGGAAAGACAAGGTCAATTACCAATCAGAATATTACGTTTATTCAAAACTTATCGAAAAGTGAGCTGGTCACAATACCCACGCAGAAGTGAGTAGAGTGAGAGATCACTGAGTGGAGTGAGCCTCTGGGTAATATACCATCTCAGGATGGGTCAGGATAGGTGCAACCTCAGAGATAACATACAATGGTTCCAGACACTAACTCCACACATCCTGTGCCAGACCTTAGCCCCAAATACAAATAACTAATTGTTTTGTTCAGTACTAAGAATTTAGAAGGACATTTGTTGTTACTTAGCTGTTACAAGTGATTTGTTCCCATTCCTCATGCCATCCCTTCACATGGTTTGCAATAGGTAAAGACACATATTCACATATGGAAACAATGTTTCCTTCTGACCTCCTTTGCCCTATTCTCTTTCTGAAATTCTGCATAGCAACAGGGACGTGATAGACAAGCCTGACTTCTCCCCTCTCTGGGCCCCAGGTGACTGAGGCCCAAATGAGGGAGGAAGTGCAGCTGCCAACACCAGAGTCTGAAAGGAGACATTCTAATAACAAGAGTTCAACAGTTAAATCATATAATCATATTCTGTGTTACTTAGCTAATTCTGATTTCTCTACCACCAGCCTTATTCTAAAATGGATTAAATAAATACAAATAATCATCATTCTATACACAATACCCCATAATTACAAAGTGAAAACAGTTTTTTTTATATAAACAGATACCTTATTTACATAAGTATTCAGACCCTTTGCTAATCGACTCTAAATTGAGCTCAGGTGCATCCTGTTTCCATTGATTATCCTTGAGATGTTTCTACAACTTGATTGGAGTCCACCTGTGGTAAATTCAATTGATTGGACATGATTTGGAAAGGCACACACCTGTATAAGGTCCCACAGTTGACAGTGCATGTCAGAGCAAAAACCAAGCCATGAGGTCAAAGGAATTGTCCATAAAGCTCTGAAACAGGATTGTGTCAAGGCACAGATCTGGGGAAGGGTACCAAAGAATGTCTGCCGTATTGAAGGTCCCCAAGAATACAGTGAGCTCAATCATTCTTAAATGGAAGAAGTTTGGAACCACCAAGACTCTTTCTAGAGCTGGCCGCCCAGCCAAACTGAGCAATCGGGGGAGAAGGGCCCTGGTCAGGGAGGTGATCAAGAACCCGATGATCAGTCTGACAGAGCTCCAGAGTTCTTCTGTGGAGATGGGAGAACCTTCCAGAAGGACAACCATCTCTGCAGCACTCCACCAATCAGGCATTCATGGTAGAGTGGCCAGATGGAAGCCACTCCTCAGTAAAAGGCACATGACAGCCCGCTTGGAGTTTGCCAAAAGACACCTAAAGGACTCTTAGACCATGAGAAACAAGATTCTCTGGTCAGATGAAACCAGGATTGAACTTTTTGGCCTGAATGCCAAGCGTCACGTCTGGAGGAAACCTGGCACCATCCCTACGGTGAAGCGTGGTGGCAGCATCATGCTGTGGGGATGTTTTTCAGCAGCATGGACTGGGAGACTAGTCAAGATTGAGGGAAAGATGAACGGAGCAAAGTACAGAGAGATCCTTGATGAAAAACTGTTCCAGAGCGCTCAGGACCTCAGACTGGGTTGAAGGTTCACCTTCCAACAAGACAACGACCCTAAGCACACACCCAAGATAACGCAGGAGTGGCTTCGGGACAAGTCTCTGAATGTCCTTGAGTGGCCCAGCCAGAGCCCAGACTTGAACCCGATCGAACATCTCTGGAGAGACCTGAAAATAGCTGTGCAGCAACGCTCCCCATCCAACCTGACAGAGCTTGAGATGGTCTGCAGAGAAGAATGGGAGAAACTCCCCAAATACAAGTGTGCCAAGCTTGTAGCGTCATACCGAAAAAGACTCGAGCCTGTATTTGCTGCCAAAGGTGCTTCAACAAAGTACTGAGTAAAGGGTCTGAATACTTATGTAAATGTAATATTGCCTGTTTTTTTGTTGTTGGCAAAAACAAATCTAAAAACCTTTTTTGGCTTTCATTATGGGGTATTGTGTGTAGATTGATGAGGGGATTAAACTATGTAATCTATTTTAGAATAAGGCTGTAACGTACCGTCTTTGTTCTCGATTCGGAATAAACTTCTCTTTATAAATGTCTGTATACAGTTGCAAGTGGTACTCCAAAAAACTGAAAATTTAAAAATATTAAATCCACTTTTTTGTACTGAGTGCGAAATGCCTCTTGCGTGTGTGTAGATCTTTGTTTGGGTCACGTGGCTGTGTTGCTTAGAACTGATAGTTTTTGCAAATATGTTGGGAAGTGCGAGATGTCCTCCAGCTAAAATGGCGAGGGAACTCCTCACAAATATTTACTTTTATTGGAGTTCCACCTGCAACTAGAAACAGGAGTTAAGACAGTGGGGCCTTCTGAATTGATAACGAAGAAAGGATCACCAGGTAAAGATTGGTCGAACATTTGCTGATTACCCTTAACACTAGCAGCATGTCAACGGCTATCCACAAGCTGCAACAGCTTATGTTGGACTACTTCGTATGATTTATTAGCTAGCTAACGTTAGGTTGCTAGCTAACATCCTTTTTGTGTGTCTCTCATTTCCCAAGGTGAAAGACTTGGGTTGTTCTTGATTTGCGGTGGTATTTACATCCCTCGCCTTTGCAACCATGAAAAACACTGAAAATGATTAAGTTACACACTTTCCCACTTGCTACTACACTTTTTCATAAATCTAGTGTGTGTTGTATACAGGTATTGAACTTGACACGCCTACATAATATCTGTTGTCATTATTCTAGGATTGTGAGGACAGTGCCAGCATGTCTCTTCCCCACCACCCTGATCCCGAACCTACAGAGTCACTGGGTCCTGACTGTAACAGTGGAACTCTTGCACTGCTGCTGGAAGACTGCATTAATCTGCTGGGCCCAAATGCAGAGTCTATGAAACTCGAGGAGGTAGCGTAGAAAGCGTACATTACGAAATGATGTAGTTTGTTAGTGTTTATTATTCCATTCGACACCACCTACACTGTCTGTTTATGTTGTGTTTATTTTAGGATTGTGAGGACAGTCCCATCCTGTCTCTTCCTCACCAACCTGAGCCCAATTCGCCCCACAAGTGGGTAACAGTACTGCTGGAAGACTGCAGAAAATCACAGAGTACTGGCTGTAACAGTGGAGCTCAGTGGACACTACTACCTCTCAAGAGAGTTAGAGTACAGGTGGAGGACTGCAGGAAGAAGCTGGGTCCGAATGCACAATCTATACAAGTTGAGGTTGTTGATAGCAGAGGATCAACTCATCCAGGTAATTGATCACATTTTGCAAAGCCTTATTATGCATTTGGTTAGATTTGTGTTGATGCACTTGATGCTGACTCTCTTCTCTGTGTATCCCAAGACCCTCTCACTCACACAGGTGTAAAGCCCAACCAACATGGAGAGCTTGGCGAGAACTCCTCTTCACCAGCAGAACATGGAGAGATCTCTGCTCCTGGAGAGCTTGGCGAGAACTCCTCTTCACCAGCAGAACATGGAGAGATCTCTGCTCCTGGAGAGCTTGGCGAGAACTCCTCTTCACCAGCAGAACATGGAGAGATCTCTGCTCCTGGAGAGCTTGGCGAGAACTCCTCTTCACCAGCAGAACATGGAGAGATCTCTGCTCCAGGAGAGCTTGGACAGAACTCATCTGCAATAGATCTTAAACTGAAGGATACCAACAAAACAAAAAGACCTCACCACTGTTCTCAGTGTGGTAAGAGTTTCAAAACATCAAATGATCTAAAAGTACATCAGAGAATTCACACTGGAGAGAAACCTTACCACTGCCCATATTGTGGGAAGAATTTCGCTCAGCCTGGTTATTTTAATGTACACCTGCGACAGCACACTGGAGAAAAGCCTTACCAATGCTCTGAGTGTGATCAATGTTTTTCCCGTCCTGACAGTTTTAAATTACACCAAAAAGTTCACATGAAAATTCATACTGAAAAGAAGCCTTACCGCTGCTCTGACTGTGGGAAGAATTTCTCTCAGGCGAGTTACTTTAAGATACACCAACGAATTCACACTGGAGAAAAACCCTTTCACTGCTCTGGCTGCGAGAAGCGCTTCACTACATCAGCTGAATTGAAATTGCATGAGCGGGTACATTCAGGAGTTAAACCTCACCACTGCACTGACTGTGGGAAGAGTTTTTCTGTACTTTCTCGATTACGAAGACATCAACTTTCACACACTGGAGAAAAGCCTTTCTCCTGTCAACAGTGTGGAAAAGGTTTCCCTGAGAAATTTAGTTTACTAACACACCAGCAAATACACATAGGAGAGAAGGCTTTTAACTGCTCGGACTGTGGGAAGAGTTTTACCTTAAAACGTTACTTAACAATTCATCAAAGATCACACACTGGACAGAAGCCGTACAAATGCTCTGTCTGTGGGAAGGAATTTGCACGAGGCAGCAACTTCATAGCACACCAGCGAGTACATACAGGAGAGAAGCCTTACTCCTGCTCCTTTTGTGAGAAACGATGCTATACATCAACTGATCTAAAAATTCATCAGAGAATGCACACAGGAGAGAAACCATTCCCTTGCCCTGACTGTGAAAAACGCTTCAGTGCAAAAGTTCAACTAACAGCTCATCAGAGAGTACACACAGGAGAGTTGCCTTACTCCTGCTGTGAATGTGGGAGGGGCTACCCACACCTGCAAAGTTTGAAGTACCACCGGCAAAAACAACACAAATTGAAAATCTCACCACTAAAGAAGACTAAGAAGAACACAATGAAATAACAATGTGCTAAATTTCTCATTGTCAATCCGAGCAAGATATTGTTGAGTCAGTTGATACTTGAAAGGGGCTTTGTATCACAGTTAAGTGTGAATTGAGATGTTCAACATTAGGATCTCCTTCATACACCAGAGAACACGCACTGGAGAAAACCCTTGAAAGGTGTGGTTATGCTTTAATATATTATTTGCTATTTCGATGGCAGTGTACGACATAGGGCCCGTTTCCCAGAAACTAGTCCTGGATTAAGCTATTTCAGAGGTTTTCCCATTGCGCAAGAGGTGTGTGAAGATGTTTAGGAATCATTTGTGCACTGATTACAGACCAGTCATGTAAAGCAGCAGGCAGCCCACTCAGTCATATTTCAATCAGTAATGTATTGATCTTTGCGGTGTACAGCCCTGCCTCATGTAAGCAATAGGTAAAGACACATTCACATATGGACACAATGTTTCCTTCTGACCTCCTTTGCCCTATTCTCTTTCTGATATTCTGCTTAGCAACAGGGACATGTGATAGACAAGCCTGACTTCTCCCCTCTCTGGGCCCCAGGTGACTGAGGCCCATATGAGGGAGGAAGTGCAGCTGCCAACACCAGAGTACGAAAGGAGACATTTTAATAACAACAGTTCAATCATAAGCATATTCTGCAGATAAGACCTCTTATCTATGTTACTTAGCAAATTCAGATTTCTCCACCACAAGCCTTATTCTAAAATGGATGAAATAAATAATAATCCTCATCATTCTACAAACAATACCCCATAATTACAAAGTGAAAACAGGTTTTTAGACATTTTTGCAAAGGTATTACAAATATACAGATACCTTATTTACATAAGTATTCAGACCCTTTGCTACTAACATGACTTTACTCAATCTGCGCATAGGATAAGACTGTGTCTTCCTGTGTTTGAAGCATTCAATGAAAATAACACCTTCCCTGTAGGGTTGCATTGCTGCCTCTGGTTCTGGGGTCGTTGAGGCATCATGAAATAAGCAGATTATCAGGTGTTTTGGAGTCCAGTGTTAAACCAAGTGTCCAAAACTGTGGTCTCCATTTGAAGGTTGTGGGTCTTCCAGCAGTATAATGACCCCCCCCCCCCCCCCCAAAAAAAAAAAAAAAACATAAAAAAAGCACCCAGGAATGGTTCAAGAAGAGATGGACTGTTCTGGAGTGGCCAGCGAAGATTCCCGATCTGAATCACATCCAGAACCTATGGCGAGAGCTGAAAACAGCAGTTGGTGCAGGGCACCCCTCAAACATTGAAGAATTAGAGCACTTTGCTGCTGAAAAGTGGGCCAAACAGTCAGTAGAAAGGTGCAGCAAGCTCATTGATGGCTACAAGAAGTGTTTGTGTCTGCAGTTAACTTTGGCAAAGGATGTGCAACCAAGTAGCTCCAGGGTGCCAATAATTCTGTCCATGCCATTTGTCTTTATTTTCTAAATTAAAATTGCTTAAGTTTACAACAAAATTGGTTCTGCAATGTTGAAAATCCAATAGGGAATTATTTGAAGGCCCAGTGCAGTCAAAAAAGTGATTTTCCTGTGTTTTTATATATATTTCCACACTGAGGTTGGAATAATACTGGAATTGTGAAAATGATAATGCCCTTTTAGCATAAGAGTTGTTTGAAAAGACTGAAATGTCAGTCTGTTTTAATGGGATGGAGTTCTGGCCTCTGGTGACATCACCAGGCAGTAAATTAGTTAATAGACCAATAAAGAGTTCCAAGCAGCTAGTTTTCAGTTTTCCACTCCCCACTCAGACCACTCCCAGAGTCCTAGCAAAATTCTTGCTTGAGAAATGGGTCTTTGCTAAAAAGCTATTTTTGTTTCTTTTTGACCATTTTAATTGAAAACATTCACAGTAAGGAACTTAATTGTTATCTAGAAATGTGATATTGAGATAGAAGCGGCTGCATTGGACCTTAAAGAAAAGTGCAAGGATGCCAATATATTTGGGCGAAACTGTACTGTTATGTGCCCTATTGACTCCTGTGAAAATGTTATGGTTATTTTGCTGCTTACTGTGCTTTTTTTTTTTCCATGGGACAAATGTCACCCAGGGGCCTTGGAATGATTTTAAATATTGTCTGGCTTGTCATTACTGTGATCTTGTTTGAAATTATTTAACTAAAAACTAAGTTTAGTTAATGATAGTGAATGTGTGTTTGGATGAACTGACATACTGTTGTGTTTAATGTACTAGAGGCTAGATGTAAATAAAAGTGTAAAACTCTTAACATCTCGTCTTTGATTTTCAGTTAGATTTGTATTTATTAGATAGTTCAACGTAGTGATATAAATCTGCCTTAGGCCCAGATTCAATCAGAACAACTAGTAGCACCACCTTGCTGTATGATTGGCATTTCACCATATTGCTTTCATCTTTTCAATCCCTTCAGATTTACACCAAGTGCCAAGTAGGACAGGGTCAGTTAAGTATTGGAATCCTCCCTTGTCATCAACGGGTTTTAAATATGTTGTATTCCATAATGCAAACAATGTAGTGTAATTGGTGTGTGTAAATTGTTTTTGTGTACACCAATACATCTAGATTGTGTTCGACTACCCAAAATAGTTGTTTTACTGCAGAGATCAACCCTGACGACATCTGAGAGGTTTAATATTTTATTTGTTGAGATAAACCAATTGCAATCGAATCAAAGTCTTTTTTATAAAAAAGTCATGTATTTTACTCAGTTACTACAGTGCCTGCTCCAAAGTCCAATGGCGCTGAACTTTACACCACTCCAGCCGACGCTTGGCATTGTGCATGGTGATCTTAGGCTTGTATGCGGCTGCTCGGCCATGGACAGACGATTTTATGCGCTACAGCACTCGACGGTCCCATTCTGTGAGCTTGTGTGGCCTACCATGTCGCGGCAGGAGCCATTGTTCCTCCTAGACGTTTTCACTTGACAAAGACATATGCAGCGTTTACCGTGAACGCAGTCTCTGCTAAAGCGGGAGCATTGCCTTTAAATTTCAATCACGCTGTAAAACTGAACTTCTGTGATGCAGATTGAATATAACCCTACATTTGGCTCAATATGCAAACTACAGATCAATTGTGTTATTGAATACAGGCATAATTGGCCATGCTCATCAATGCCTCACACTGAACAAAAATATAAATGCAACAATTTCAAAAATGTTACTGAGTTACAGTTCATATGAGGAAATCAGTCAATTGAAATAAATTAATTAGGCCCTAATCTATGGATTTCACATGACTGGGAATACAGATACAGTATGCAGCTGTTGGTCACAGATAACTTTTTTTTTTTTTATGGGCCTCACAATGGGCCTCAGGATCTAGTCAAGGTATTACTGTGCATTCAAATTGCCATCGATAAAATGCAATTGTGTTCGTTGTCCGTAGCTGATGCCTGCCCATACCATAACCCCACCGCCATTATGAGGCACTCTGTTCACAACGTTGACATCAGCAAACCGCTCGCCCACACAACGTCATACGTGGTCTGCAGTTGTGAGGCTGGTTGG